ACTTTTAATCCAGGTTACAATAATCCACACTTTTAATCCAGGTTACACTCTTCCCTCAAGGACACATTTTACAAAGTAGCTAAATATTGTGCAGGTATAAAGATACATTTGTATATATTTTAGTGTACATTTATTATTTTAAGCTATTTGACTAACTTTTATTTTTTATTATTCAATATTTTACTAACAGAATAGTAAAATAGCAACCTGTTTTTAGTGTGAATTTCTATGTCAGTCAAATGTTCAATTTGGGAATAAAGGGGTGGAAATTAAAACGCTTTTGTTTTCTCTTCTGATTCATCGATTAATCGAAAAAATAATCGGCCGATGAATCGATTATTGAAATAATCGTTAGTTGCAGCCCTACTGGGGACCATGCTGCGTTCACGCGCTCGGGACAGAAGAGCTGTCAGTCCCTCCTCCTGAACTCGGTTCAGAAAACCGTGATATCAGAGGGAGTGAGGGAGGTGAAGAAGCATTACGACCACAGGCTGTGAGCAAACGCGTCCACCCCTAGGTGTGCCCCACACAGCATCTCTCACAATGTGACACATGGGTTGAGCGCATACACCTCCTGCCGGTTATGTATGCAACAGTCACTTGCTGTTTGTGTGAATCAAAAAACCCTGATGATTCCGCAGCACAGAAGCAAAGTGTTGAATCACATTCAAAACCCCGTGCAACACTCCAAAACATTTAAATGAGCTGCTGTGTGGAGAACCACAGCGCCCTTACAGCTCATTAAATGTATGTGCCTCTGTGAAGTCTGACGTGTGACGTAGGTCTGCTGACGGAAAAACAGCTGATGTCACTCTGCCGGTTTCACGTGAGTTGCACTGCTGCCATCTGTTTGGAAAAACTGGTCAGCAGCAACAGATGTCCAGATGAAACAGAATTCTCCTCCCCGCTCTGTGTGGCGGCTGCAGAGCGGCTCGACGCATTTAATGGAATTTTGTTTCTCACAGTTCAAAATTGACAAATCTAGAATAAATCTCATCTTTCCGGTTCGTTGGGGCCAGGGAGTGACGAGAGAGGAACCCTGTGTTTTCCTCTCCTTCTGAGACCCTGGAAATTACATTTATCAGAATTTCCTGAGCTTTCCTAAGAATTTCCTAAGATGACGAGCCGGAGTGGAGCCCAGAACCTTCCCGCTGGATCATCCGAACTGGCAGGAAAGGCGCGGGACGTAAAAAAGGTCCCTTCATGTCAGCCGCCTCCTGTGTTAAGCTGGGCAAACTCCAGAGGGTGCCGTCGGCTGGGAGCGGTGTGATCGCCGATGCGAAACGAGGTGGGATGAGGTGAGCATTCGCTCAGCCCCCCTCCACCGACACTACGCTCTCCAGGAGGGAATGAGCAGCGGGGCTGCTGCTGACGTCGCTTGTCCCGGAGGAACCATCCGATTCGCTCCGAGGTCGGCGATAAGAGGAAAATTACAAGATGGCGTTGTCCAGCGTGTAGCGACCTGTCACTGAGAAAAACTCCTCGGTGCTTACCTTGAAACAAGACTGCTCGTCAGCTTCTCCTCAGGGAGGAGAGCTCACCGGGACGACCGGAGGTCGACGTGACAGGCCAAGCATTCTTAACAGAGGTTGGTCATCTACACAACTTTCCTTCTTCGTTCTTCTGACAGTGCTATTAGCTCGCTGAAGAAAAATGAGAGCCGATTACCCGCTCTTAACGTAATTTATACGGACCGGGTGGGGCCCACACAGCAGGTGGGCATGGACTAAATTTTTCCGTGTGATGCTTAGCATAACGGGATAAAACCCATCAGCGACAGCTCTTAAAGGGCGAAGCCTATACGAAATAGAACAAGCCAAACATTTGGTGCATGATTAGTTTTCTGTTTAAAGGTGAGCATTACAAACCGGAGCAAAGAAATCAACGAGCCACGGCTCCTTCCTGTCTGAGGGGAAGTTGTCTGGCTTCAACGTCGTCACATGAGCATGAACACTGTCCCTTGCAAAGCTCACAATGTTGTACAACACATCTTTACCTATACAGAAACACAAAGGTTACACAAACAGACTGAACGAATGAGGCAACATGTGAAACTATGCATAGCAAACTGCTAAGTAAATGAACTAAATAAAAACTTCTGGACTAGAGCTTATCAGGTGTTTATAAAAAAAAAAATGATGATGGTGAAACTAAATTACATCTGAGACAAAAACGAGGTTTACAGGAGAACAAAAGTTAAAGAACAGATGTAGTACTGACCATGGTGGATCTCAAAGTCATGAATCCCCAATCCTTTAAAGACAGCCACACAGGGTTTATGGATGTAGAGAGACTGACACAATCCTGAATCTGCTTTGCAGTCGACTCTGCCAACCTGCAGAGACACTCACTCAGAAAGGCAAACAAACCAGCAGAAATATGCAGACAGAAGGACACACCTGTATGTGGTCTTTTCGTAGAAAGGCTTTGAGCTTCTTGTATTCGTTGGAGGCTGTACTTCGATCACCAAACGTAAAACTGATCAACCAGCGATGATGAGCCAGTTTTTTCTGTGATAATCACACAGTTGTATTTTAACATGAACCTCACTTTACCACTGAGGCATCAATCCAAACAGTAGTACCACATTTGTTGATGTTTAGTGCAAGTACCTCAAAGCTGTCACTGGTCAGCAGTTCCAGATCAGGCAGATGGTTGATGACCTGATTATAAATCTCTCTACTGTCCAAAGTCTTCAACCACTGAAGCACAACAACACTAAATCAGTACCGAAGTACTACCCAGTGTATTAATGCAGGCAGTATTTGTGTTCTGTGTCATACCAGTACACTGTCCTGTTTATCCAGAGCACTTTCAGGTGGAAACAAGGCAGTTGCTCCACTTGTTACCTGAAACAGAAGGATTATTATCTTGGTAGCAGCTGGTTTACAGCAGTAGTAAAATCACTGCTACAGCTTTTTGAGTAAACACTGTTAACGGTTGGAAGTGTTAAATGAAATTCACTGAGCAAAATAATTAAGCCCCCAGAAGAAAAGGTTTGACTTGGATGTAATTTGATATATACAAGCAATGAGTAAGGATATTACTTAATTTGCATGGAGTTGCAAATCTGGAGCAGGCCCCAGAAAGCAATAATAGCACTGTGAGTGGAAAGTGCAGGTAGTTAAAGAAGCATTGAACACTTATTTAAAATACTGTGAAGATCAGCAGACACAGAGGAGGTCTCATAAATGCATTTGACAGCATTACCAGAACTTGATGAACGTTTTATAGAAGTTGCATTAAGGGTTTGCGTGATGCGTGGGTTTTCTCCGGGTACTCCAGTTTCCTCCCACAGACCAAAAACATGCATATTAGACTGATTGGTAACTCTAAATTGTCCCTAGGTGTGAGTGAGAGAGTGAATGGTTGTTTGTCTCGTTTGTCTCTATGTGGCCCTGTGATGGACTGGAGACCTGTCCAGGGTGTACCCCATCCCTCGCACAGTGATTGCTGGACATGGGCACAGGCAACCACCGTGACCCAAAATGGAAGAAGCGGGTAAAAGTTAATGGATGGATGGATGGATAATAATATATAATAAAATAATAATGAATAAAAATATATAATAAAGCTGGGCTGGATTTCCACCACCTCGTATGGGTGCTTAATTATTTTTTGTCAATGAATATATATTAAACATACATTTGAGCAGTTAATTGTCCCGAAAAACGCATATACGGTAAATTCACAATTAACTGATGACACTTATTTAGCTATCAAAATGGCAAATAATGATCACTTTCTGTTCAGCACTACATGACAAAGAACACTTGATTTTACAAGTATCACGTCTTACCTGGAAACTGTCACATAGCTGTTGCTGAACAGTGCAGTCCATCCACCCCACCTTAGCCAGGCCATCCTACACACAGACACACACATGATGATCACATATTATATTAATAATTACCACTGTATCTCAGTAGACCGGAATTGCTACTGGAATAGGTTCTAGAATTGCGCCGCTCAAGGTGACTGCATGCTGGAGCAGCTCTGTTACTTTCATTCTGAGATTTTGCTTTTGGAAACTTTAAATCCTCTTTTTCTGGATGTAAATCACATTTTTTGGACGATTGTTTCCTCTGGTATCAGATGCTGTGCAGCATGAAAGGTTTTTACTGAAACTTAATTTAGTTTTGGACATTGGACTCTTCTGTTTGAAGAGTTTCTGTCAGGGTTTAGAGATCATCATAGCACAGAAACAGCACTAGTAAAAGTCACTAATGATATTCTCATGGCCTCAGACAATGGACTTGTGTCTATACTGGTCCTGTTGGACCTCAGTGCTGCATTTGATACAGTTGATCACAATATTTTACTACAGAGGCTTAAATATGATATTGGGATTACAGGAACGGCTCTAAAATGGTTTAAATCATATCTATCTGATAGATTCCAGTTTGTAAATGTAAATAATAAATCTTCTTCATACACCAAAGTTAGTTATGGAGTTCCTAAGGGCTCAGTGCTTGGGCCAATACTCTTCCATTAGGTAAAGTTATTAAACGACATGGGATAAATTTCCATTGTTATGCTGATGACACACAATTATATTTGGCCATTAAACCCAATGAATCCAATCAGCTACTTAGACTACAAGCATGTCTTAAAGACATAAAAACCTGGATGACCCTTAATTTTCTCCTGTTGAACACAGACAAGACCGAGGTTTTGGTTTTTGGACCTTGTAACAAGTGGGCCTGTTTGTTTAGTATATATACCCCGGGGGACAGGTTTGTGGGTGGCACAACTGAAACCGGGCTAGGAAGTTAGCATCTGTTATGTGTAGCTCTGTATGTCTACAATAAAGTAAGAGTAAGCAAACATACTGCTTTAACCGTCCATTCTGTATAGTCCACGGTGGGGCAGAACGGAATGAAACAGACCTGAGCACCTTAGGAATGAATTTTTCAGTCTTTCTCCCTCCTTAGATGGCATTAATCTGTCCTCCAGCTCTAATGTTAAAAATCTTGTTATTTTTGATCAGGACATGTCTTTTATCCCCCACATTAAAAAACGTTACTAGAACTGCCTTCTTCCACCTGCGTAATATCACTAAAATTAGAAACATCTTATCTAAAAATGATGCAGAAAAACTGGTCCATGCATTTGTCACATCTAGACTGGACTATAGCAATGGTTTATTATCTGGATGTCCAAATACTTCTTTAAAACGTCTTCAGTTGGTCCAAAATGCTGCTGCCAGAGTCTTAACTGGAGTTAGTAGGAGAGATCATATTCCTCCAGTTTTAGTTTCTCTCCATTGGCTCCCTGTCAAATCCAGAATACAATTCAAAATCCTACTTCTAACCTACAAAGCTCTCAACAACCTGGCTCCATCTTATATTACAGATCTTATTGTTCCATATTTTCCCAACAGAGCACTTCACTCTCAGACTGCAGGTTTACTTGTGGTTCCTAGAATTTACAAAAACAGAATGGGAGGCAGATCTTTCAGTTATCAGGCTCCTCTCTTGTGGAACCAACTGCCAATCTCTGTCTGTGAGGCTGACACATTATCCAGTTTTAAAACTAGGCTTAAGACTTTCATTTTTGATAAATCCTATAGTTATGGTCGGCCTGGGTTTCCTGAGCTGTCCCTTAGTTATGCTGCTATAGGCTTAGACTGCTGGAGGACAAACTGACCACAAAATTTTCACTCTGCTACTGTCTTTACTTACTCTGCTCAACATGTTTTGTATTTGTAATTATTTTTTCTATCCTTAACATGTATTTTTTTTTGTCTTTCAGATACACCTGGACCTATCATTCTATGTTCGTCTGTCTCTCCTTCCTGTCCTCTCAACCAGCTGGTCAAAGCAGATGGCCGCTTGTCCTGAGCCTGGTTCTGCTGAAGGTTTCTTCCTTTTAAAAGGGAGTTTTTTCTTTCCACTGTTGCTACTGTGCTTGCTCAGGATGGGAGTCTGTGACGAAGCCAAGATTCAACTTGTCTGCTGGATTCCTTAGATAGAGAACTTTACTAATTGGCTTCTATGTATGTGAATGTCTCCTGTAAAGTGCCCTGAGACAACTTTGTTGTGATTTGGCGCTATATAAATAAACTGAATTGAATTGGCATTTGTTATGATGCGTAACCATGGCAACAAGGCAGTTTTCTACAACCAACAGCAGCTGATTAACATCTCAAAAGCTCAAATAATCTCTCAACTCCAGCCCAAAGAGTTGTAAAGGATGTTCTGTGGACGCATTCTCATCTACCTGCCAGCTGTGCTCGAGTGCCTGACCACTGAGATCCTGGAACTAGCAGGAAACACAGCTCATGACAGCAGAAGGACAGGATTGTCCCCCAACACCTGCAGCTAGTTGTCTGCAGAGACGAGGAGCTCAACAGACTGCTGAGAGGCATGGCCATTGGCCATCACTCTGGGAGGAGTTCTGCCCGGCATTCGGGCAATCCTACAGCCTAGGGGAACCGAGAGGCCAGCTGAGTCTGGGTGGACGGATCGGACGGCATCTGCAGCCAGTTTCTTAGGATCCGCTGTGGGATAGACATTTACAAGAGATCCTTCCTGTCTACAGCCATCAGCATCTAAAACATCTCTTAATAAAATGCAGAACACGAGTTACAACAACAAATAATTTCCCTTTGGGATTATTAAAGTATTTATGAAATGAATTTAATTGAATTTTTTGCTTTATAAGTTGCGTTTTTTTGCATAATTTGCAGGCCTTGCGACTTATAGGCCGAAGCAACGTATTTATCAATTTTTTTCCCATATTTATAAAACAATTTTTGGCTGAGATATGACCGTTTTCATTCATTCTGACTGAAAAAAACTGAACACTACCATTTTCAGCCAATAGATGGCAGCAGAGTAGTAAGGCATGCCGTTGTATTATGTAATATGTAAAAGTGGCTATAATGTCAAATTCAACAAAGTTCAAGAGAAATAAAACTGGACTTTATTTCAATTCAATTCAATAATACTTTATTAATCCCAAAGGGAAATTATTTTGTTGTAACTCGTTATCCTCGTTTCATTAAGAGATGTTATAGATGCTGATGGCTGTAGGCAGGAAGGATCTCTTGTAAAGGTCCATCCCACAGTGGATCCTAAGAAACTGGCTGCAGATGCCATCCGATCCATCCACCCAGACTCGGCTGGCCTCTCGGTTCCCCTGAACTGTAGGACCGCTTGAATGCTGGGCAGAACTCCTCCCAGAGTGATGGCCACTCCTCCCAGCAGTCTGCTGAGCTCCTCATAGCTGTGGACAGTCAACTGTAGGTGCTGAGGGACGATCCTGTCCTTCCGCTGTCGTGAGCCGTGTTTCCTGCTAGTTCCAGGATCTCAGTGATCAGGCACTCGAGCACAGCTGGCAGGTAGATGAGAATGCATCCACAGAACATCCTTTTCAACTCATTTGAGAGTTGGGGCCATAGTTGAGATATTATTTGAGCTTTTGAGATGTTAATCAGCTGCTGTTGTTGTAGAAAACTGCCTTGTTGCCATGGTTACGCATCATAACAAATGTCCAAAACCAAAAAAGTTTCAGTAAAAATCTTTCCGGCTGCACAGCATCTGATACCAGAGGAAACAATAATCCAAAAAATGTGATTTGCATCCAGAAAACCAGGAATTAAAGTTTCCAAAAGCAAAATCTCAGAATGAAAGTAACAGAGCTGCTCCAACATGCAGCCACCTTGAGCGGCGCAATTCATTATAATTTATTATACTTTATAACTTTTGTCTTGAACTTTTATTAATTTACCATGTCCTGGATGACTGAGAATCTTCACCAGCTATTAATGACACAATCAGCTTGCCATAGACTGCCACCTTCGTTCGGCTCGCTGCTTGGAGCAACCGTCAAACCAGCTTCCTTTCACTGCACCGCTCCGACGAAATGCAGCTAATTTGACCACTGAAGTCATTTATTAAGTAAAAGTTCAACTGAGACACACCTTTGCTATAATTTCAAGCAAAAAATAATTGTTTTAGGTGCTTTTCTTGTTAAATCTTGAAGAAAAGCACAGCGTTCCTCTTTTTTTCCCTCCCTGTCTGCACGCTCCCGGGAGCACCGAGGCAGTGAATACTTTTGAAATACAGTTAATTTGACCTTTAAAGTCCTTTTATTAAGCAAATGTTAGACTGAGACACACCTTTACTATAAAGTCGAGAAACAAATAATTGTTTTGAGGTGTTTATCTTGTTAAATTATGAAGAAATGAACAGCAGCTCATCCATCTGCGCTTGCCCGCTTACGTGAATCGGGTTTTGAAATGCAGCTGATTTGACCATCAAAGTGCATTTAAGCAAAAGTTAGACTGAGACACACCTTTACTATAATTGTGAGCAAACAAATAATTGTATTTAAGTGTTAATCTTATTAAATTCTTGTTAAAGTCCTTCCGTGCATGCTCCTGCAGCCACCATTTGGCAGCCAATCTATTTTTGGCTCAACACCATCCCACATTTCCGGGTTGTCTACGGTGACGCAAAATAAACACGACGTGTCAGTGGTGACGCATAACAGATGCGACATATACGGCGAAGCAACATATTTATGGATTTTTCCACTTCATTAGACAAATATGGACTGATGTGACTTATACAGCGGTGCAACGTGTACGGCTGAAAATACAGTACAGTATACTGTATATACAGTGTACATTTTATATCTTTATTTTACAATGTCACAATTTAAAGATAATTACCATTTATTATAAAGATCTATTACCTAGAAATCTGCAAGCATCATTCTTATCACCTTCAGTGAGTCTTTTGTTCTTAATCATTTTCTAAACAAAAGGTTTTACTTTAAGTTGCTGATACTTACATCAGCTCTTGAGCCAGTTTATTCTTTTTATTTCGCACAGTAAATCAAACAGACTGAAGACAGAATTTCAGATAACAGTAAATAAAATGTAGTCTACTGTACTCTTTTTTTTTTTCTTCAATAAAATATAGCTTCAGTTTTTGCACTTTGCACTTTAAAATGTATATTTTTGTGTGGAATTAGCAAAGAACCATTGTAAAAAAAAAAAAAAAGTTTAAATAAACTCCTGTGCTTTGTTCTCACCAACATCCCAGCAAGCTTCTGTCTCGTTCTTGGCTCCAAACAATCTGTAACAGACAGAGACACATGTTAGTATGTTAAATGGTTGTGCACGGTTTGTGTCTTTTTATAAAATGCTGTGTATTAAGAACAGTGTCAGATAAGCTTTGGTTAAAGGTTATGGATGTTGTCTTATTAACATTCTTCCCCTGAGAACAAAAAATCAAATTGTCTCCCAAAATGCTCTCTTATCTCGACGTGGAGGCCGTCTGTCTGACTCGCAGTGCCTCAATGCCATTGTCGCCATGAGAACATGCCCAAAACATTCTCTTATCTCCATCTGGAGGCCGATTCGCCGATGGCCATGCATCTTGTCTATGTGGCTGGCTGTGGCTGGCTGTGGCTGGCTATGAGTGAACGTCCCCTGGACTCTGCTGCTGAGTAAAGGTCTGCAGAGGACTCTATATGACACTCATTTCTGTGACATGCTCCATGCTTTATGTATCTGTGTATGTAATCTGTCCTGAATGGGTCCTTGCAAGTAACATGCCTGTTAAAGAAAAAAAAAGATCTTCTGCTGTTGAGTGTGGGTCTTTTGAGTAAACAAGGTAAGTGAGAGTGTTTTTCTCCAACAGCCAGTCTAAATATGCACCAGATTTTTGCTTACCAACAGACATGTTTTAGGTGACATTTCACATTTCTGTGTTACCTCCAGTGTCAGAGCAGAAGGTGATCAGACATCCAAGCCCTGATGCAAATGCACTCTCCATTTCAGTGAAAACATTACCTACAGAAAAAACACTATAGGTCAGACCACACAGAATAATGCAAACAACTCGATCATCAGACTGAACTGAACCACCCAGGACAGAAAACCCAGCCTGGCTTACAAGCACACAGGTAAACGAGACCAAATCAAAACAAGTCAAAGGATAAAACATTTTTTCACTAAAGTGGGTTGGCTTGGGTTTCCTGAGCTATCCCTTAGTTATGCTGCTATAGGCTTGGGCTATCCTTGCTATCCTTGACATGTGTTTTTGTCTTTCAGGTACACCTGCACCTACATCTGGACCTGTCATTCTGTGTTCGTCTGTCTCTCCTTCCTGTCCTCTCAAACCAGCCGGTCAAAGCAGATGGCCGCTTGTCCTGAGCCTGGTTCTGCTGGAGGTTTCTTCCTGTTAAAAGGGAGTTTTTCTTTCCACTGTTGCCACTGTGCTTGCTCAGGATGGGAGACTGCGACAAAGTGAAGATTCAACATATCTGCTGGATTCCTTAGATAGAGAACTTTACTAATTGGCTTTTCTATGTATGTGAATGTTTCTGTAAAGTGCCCTGAGACAACTTTGTTGTGATTTGGCACTATATAAATAAACTGAATTGAATTGAATTAAAAAAACAAACTTTCTACTACAGTTTTTGCGCATAAAGGTGAACTTTGTGAATAAAAGACTAAATAAGTTGACAGAAGAAAAATTGGTTAATCTTGGGAAAAATCATTACGACATTATTACTGGCCTGGCATTCCTTGAAGAAATACATAATGTCCACTGCCTGTCCTGCCAGAGACTTGACATAAGATCATTTTAGGTTGAGAAATGATGGAGACGTAGCAGTTTTAATCTAACCTTGAAAAAAATGTGTAATCTCATGTGATATGACAAGATGTCACACTAAGTCTCCCAGTTGTGAATGACTCTCAGCTACCACCACTGCTCCATTTGTGTCATGTTCATGTCAGCTAATGTGATGTGGTGGCTAAACATTTTTCATCTGCCTTTCCTTTAGTGTGAGCAATAGTCAAAGATTAGCTTACCCTGCTGGAGCTCAGTGACAGTTGTTGTGATGAACTGCATGGAAAAGCCAACCAGGTTGTCTTTAGTTCTCTCCCCAGTGAACTTCTCTGGTCTCTACAAAAACATAAATGATTATAGATAATTTTTCCCATTCTCTGACACAACATGGTTTTCGTTAGCTGTCAAAGACAATCTAAAAAAGTTAAATCTGGTCCTCTGGACATTCAAAAAAACAAAACAAAGCAATACAAAAAAAAGTAGAACCACTTCGTCTTCCATCTGAAAGACTTCCTCAGTCTGAGGTGCTGTATTCAGCTCAGTATGATTATGACATCTGGGTTAAAATTAAATCCCAGGAAGTCCAACATTTTACTGACCACATCAACTCTGTGGATAAATACATCAAAATATCCTGATGCATGCTCAATAATCCAGGTAGAAAAATCCAAAAAAGTTCAATCTGGTCCTCTGGACATTCAAAAAAACAAAAGCAAAACAAAGCAAAAAAAAAAAAATCTAGAAACGTTTCGTCTCTCATCCAAGAGACTTCCTCAGTCTGAGGTGCTGTTTTCAGCTCAGTCTCTTAAATAGCACCTTCTCAGAGTGGATCAACCAGTTT